CCTCAAAACATTCAGAGGCACACTACACGGAAAAGAGGAGGGCTTTGTGAGTTATGCCAAGGATAACATAGTTGCATCAAAGAGTGTATAAAAATAATTAAGCTGAGGAGAAAGATACCCCTTCAGTAGCTATGAGATACTTGCTCCTTCCTGCCTCAAGATACTAGGACTCTCCTGAGCAGGGTCATAAACAAATTGAGATTTCCCATGGCAATGACAACATGCTGGCTAGAACTGCTTTCTGCTAGAATGCCAAGAGACCACAGAGATCCCCAGGTGAAAGAGATAAGGAAAGTGCTGATGCTTCAAGGCCAATTCTGGATCTGGCTCTCTAGAGATAGGAGTTAAAAGATAACCTGAGGTTATTGTCCAGCACAGCCCCACCCAGTCGAGCCTCCAGAGAAAAACAGCAGGCAGGAATTTAGGGAAGAACCTAGGGTAAAAACAAAGAGGATCCTGTTTTTGTTTCAGTTGTATTAGGAGGAAGGAGGCAAGGAGGGTCCAATTCCAAAAAGAGGAGCAAAGGGCCTCATGTAAAGGACCACATTCCTTTGAACAACTGTGTGAAATGTTTAATTACTAATTACATTTTTAAAATTGGCCACAAAGATATTTTATTTGGTATATCAAGGAATGTACTAAGTATGACTTGCTGTATTACCTGACTAAAGGAAATTCAGATTATAAAATCCACAGGCTTGTTAAAAAGTCACATTATAATGCTTTAAAATCTTGTAATTACGATTTGCAACACAGGGAAGGACCATAGGGAAAAATAGTGGAGTTGGAAAATATTTTTATTTGCTCATTCTATGATGTCGGCACCACAAAAGCATAGTTACTAAGTACCAGTTACTAAGGTAAATGGAAACCTAAAAGAAAAGAAAGATCATGGTGGGTAAGTTGGCCTAAAAATCACATTGAATACAGTGTCTTGATAAGACTAGTATTAAATTACTGACTACAAACAATAATGTTGGTTCAAATGTCATTTTCAAGGACTCATAGTCACAAAATGAGTAATAAGCCTTTTATGGGACACAAAGATTATGTTTACAACTGAAGAAAATGAAAATACACCACTCTGGCATATTGACTATTTTAAATGAAAAACAAGTATCAGAAAACAACAGGTCCAAAAAGATCACTCTGACCTTCCAGCTGTTTCTTAAAAGCAGTCAATACAATTCCTATGTGAAGGGAATAACATCCTATCCTCAAGGACAAGAAGTTAAGACAAAAAGAATCATGTACCAAAATGCTTAATGATATTGGCCTTTGGAAAAAATTTATGAAGACCCCAAAGGCAATCACAGCAACAACAAAAATAAACAGGACCCAATCAAGTTGAAAAGTTTCTGCACAGCTAAGAACACAATCCAACAAAGCGAAGAAACAACCTTCAGAGTGAGAGAAGATTATCTGCCTGCTATGAATCTGACAAAAAACTAATAACCAGAATCTCCAAAAAACTCAAATCAACAAAGAAAAAGAACAAACCATTACATTAAAATCTGGGCAAGAGACATGAATAGAACCTTTTCTCATGAGCACAGATGGCCAACAAACTCATGAAAAAATGCTCACCTCTAATTAATATTATAGAAATGGGCTGGGTACATTGGCTCATGCCTATAATCCTAGCACTTTGGGAGGCCAAGACTGGCGGATTGCTTAAGGTGAGGAGTTCAAGATCAGCCTGAGCCAAAGTGAGGCCTCATTTCTACTAAAAATAGAAAAACAAGCCAGGCACTGTGACGGGCGCCTAAAGAACTAGCTACTCAAGAGGCTGAGGCAAAAGGATCACTTGAGCCCAAGAGACTGAGGTTGCTGTGAGCTATGATGCTGCCATGGCACTCTCCTTAGCACAAGAGTGAAACTCTATCTCAAAAAAATAAATTAGAGAGACAGAAGACCAATTCAATTTGGGATATCACCCAACTCCAGTGAGAATGGCCCACATCACAGGGACCCAAACCAAGAAACGCTAGTGCAGGTGCAGAAGGAAAGGAACACTTCAGTTCTGCACTGTTGGTAGGACAGCAAACTAGGACAGCCTTTATGGAAAGGCATATGGGGAGTCCTCAAAGAACTAAGAGTAGACCT